GGGCGCGTCTTATTTTTTCGTACCACGGCGAGCCCAGATTCCAGTATGAATTCATTTTCATACATAACAAACTACGTAAGCTTGCAAAGAGGTCACAAACAATTAGACTTATTTTATTTTATTATATTATTTATTGCTTTGCCTCACTATTTATAAAGGTAAACAAAGTAAATAAACTGAGATTTGAACCCTCACGGCAACTCCAAGATTCTATTAGAAAGACAGTGTCCTTACCGTTTGAGCTAACGATGAGTTGATGAAAGATTGATTTGTATAATTACCATCACCCTATTGACCACCCTACCGGATTCCACGTGCGCATGCGCTGGTTTCCTTCGCGAGTGCGCATGCGCAGGTTTCCCTCGCGAGCTCAATCCGGGTTCGCCGTGGTACGAAAAAATAAGACGCCAGCCGCGTGTCCTAATTTAATGATCACGCCATCATCGGCTGGTAGCAAGTAGGTAGGGAGAGGTAGCGTTGGTGTGGTGGAGATCAACTAAACCGCTGGGCGTAGAAATTCGGGGATCACGTCCTGTTCTGCCTGCAGTAAGTACGGTGAGATCGGGGTTGGGGTGGTGGAGATTATTAAATATTAAATCGATCAGATTCCTGAGTAATATAGCATCAGTGACGGTATTTCTTTCGGAAGGCATTACTTAATCACTTTGTAGTGGAGGCATATTTCTAAAAAGTATCCACAACCCTAATGCTAACCCTACTTGTTGCACATGGAAGTGTTTGCACGGAATGTGGTGGCAAATAGCTACCCTAAGTAAATTACACTAGTGGCTATTTTTTAATATAAATATGCAGCTAATATTGAGTAAATGATCCATTTATCCGGTGGTTTTCATCTTGCTTTTTAAAATCATAAAATTATTTTACGTCGAGATTGCGCTATTCAATTTAAGGAGCTTCAACGTTGCATTCGTGAAACCTCCAGTGAAACGGGGCAAAAATATCTTTTGTTTATCCCAATAAGCGAGTTCACGGTTGCAGTCTGAGCATGAGCAGATAAAGGTCATTGCAGAACAAATTTTAAAATACACGGAGACGAAATACTGGATACATGCTCATGAAAGTTATGTAACATTATTCATTCATGCAAATTCAGTGCACTCCATGGTACACAGGTGGAAGTATTCTTTGAAAAGGGGGAACAAAGGCTATTTATATAGCATCTCCATCGCTGTAGGAGTGATTATTTCAAAATGTACAAAGTGGGACCTCTTCATGTTTTGAAAATCTGTGGATAATCGGGGTCATTGCAGTAAGGTGCTAACCGTGAACTGGTCTATTGGTATTTCACGACTTGGGCGACCAGGCTAACTATTGTCAATCAACTTTCACTACAACTAAGGTCTAATAACATCAACAGAAATCTAAATTCTAAATTATATTGCCTAAAAATACACTGCTATAACTAAACTAGTCCAGAATTTGGCATATTTAATTTTGATCTCCACCACACCAACGCCGCGACATCCGCCTACATACTTGCTGTTAGCCGAAGGATGCGTGATCATTAAATTAGGACTCCCAGCGAAAAAAAAAATAGGGCTGGTGAGCGTATAGTGATAACACCATCTTCGGAGGCTTGAATGAAATATCTTGAAAATAATATGAAGAACCGGTCAGATTCTGGGCTATAACTAACCTGGCGTACACTAAAGAAGAGCTTTGGAAGCTGTAATATATTTTGCCCATTGATATTGAAAGACGTACTATTTGCACGAACAAACCCTTGTCATTCACTGTGAGCTATAGCAAAATAGAATATGTGCCTGTAAACTAAGACTAGTTTGAAAAAGTTTTTTAGAAGAGTAAAGTAGTATTTTTGTTGCTCGTATGATTATGATTACAAAGATAGACAACTTTTCACTTGTTTATCAAACCATTATTGACATTCTTCTTTTTGATTGTTTGTTTGTTTTTTGCGCTCCTTCTAGAATCAAGCATCGATATCTTATTTTGATGCAGTCATTTTCTGTCTCTCTGTCAACTGATCTTTTTGTGTAATATGTAAACGCCCCTTAGATTAATGCCTCCTATAGAAAGGAAAAGAGCACTTGTGTCATAATCTCGAGGCATTTCCTGTTTTCTTTCTTGTAAAAGTTGGCTTTCTTTACATTTCGCTTTTTAAAAGAGCTATAGAATTTCCCGCATTTTAAGATTAAAAATGAAAACCCACACCGATCAGATATGTTGATGTTCTTTCCTTCTAAAACATACATTCTCGACACAGTCTCTGTTCTCTCGTTTATAAGTGAACTGTCTTTGGAATTCGATCTTTTACCAAACGAAAAGCACCTCATCATGAACAGATCTTTTGTTCAACGCTCATCTCCTCTCCGCCCTACTGATTCGGTCTTCAGAAGAAAAAAAATCTCACAATGACTTTACGTGTCTTCAATCGTTATTTTCTCCATTAAAAAAACACCTGTTTCATGGTCTCGAATCAGTTTCTTTCAGTCTATCTTTTTCATTTTTCCTTCTACTTTTTAAAAATAGCTAAATAAATCCCCGTACATTAAGAGTAGGATTTATAAATCCCCTTGAGAAGAATACTAATTAAGACATGCACATGCAGCCCAGGCTATTATTGACATTGTTTTTTTCTTCTTCCGGTGTTTAAAATATCACTGTTTAAAAGAATGTTGTTTAAAAAAGTAAACAACGTTGTTCAAAATCGAAAAATCAGTGCTCGATTGACTTAAACAACTATGTATTAAAAGACAAAAATATTTAATTAAACAGAGTTGTTTAAAAAGTCCCGGGGGCGTCGTTGATATTTTCTCGATACGCGATTCCAATTTGCGCTCACACATGCGATATGCACAAAGTACGTACATAATACATGCATGCAAGCATGCAGTGCTAGTGTGCAGTGCAAGTGCATACGAAAATGGCGGAACAAGGGCAAGGCGACAACTTGGTTCTTCTCGGCTTCGCCGATGGGGTTTAGGTGAAGTTTAGACAAATAATAATGTTGTCTGTCACGGCCATGAAAATGATGAACAAATGTTGAAGTAAATTGGCAACAAGCTCTGCATGTTACAGTGTATAAATCGTTGTGATTATTGCAGGAGTGGTTCCAGTAGGTCATTTCACAAATTCAAACAACCAGATAATAACCATTAAACAGTTCTGTTTAAAAGTTAAGCAACTCCTTTTAAACAACCCAGTTGTGCAGTAATACTGAATAAACAACAGTTGCTTAGTAATTTAAACATTATTGTTTAAAATTTAAACAACTTGCGTTAAACAACCGAGTTGTGCAATTTTATTACTAAACAACTGTTGTTTAAAAGGTTTCCTAATTTTTAAACAACTAAGTGTTCAAAATGTAAACAACCTTAATTTGTTTAATTTTTAAACAACGTTGAGCGATTCACCGGTTAACTCGGGGTTGTTTAAAATTTTAAACAACTTGTTTAAGTTTTTTCTAACAGTGTAGTCACTCAATTGATCTCTCTTTAAAGTTCCTTTCTTTTTTCATCGCTTTTTTAAAAGAACTTTAGAATTTGCCTATATTTAAATTGTTAATCACGCACTTGATGTCTCTAAAAAAAATAATTTCTTTTCTTATTTAGAATTTCCCGCTATTTGAATAATTAAAATTTCTTACTGTAGTTACAGGACGGTTCCCGTTTTTTCTTTTTTCTTTCGTTTTTTTCTTCTATTCGCTTTTAAAAGAGCGGCTTTCTTTTACAATATAAGCTTATCACGGGACAAAACTAAGACACTTCTCTACGTGACTGTCACGTATATACCCATGTCTATTTTTGCATTGAGATTTTTCTTTGTAGGTAGGCCTACCCCTTTTTTTTTCTTCCAGAAAGTGACTCGTCTATTTTTGCTTTGAGATTTTCATTGGAAGGTAGGCCTACCCCTTTTTTTCTTCCAGAAAGTGACTCGTCTATTTTTGCTTTGAGATTTTCATTGGTAGGTAGGCCTACCCCTTTTTTTCTTCCAGAAAGTGACCTTTTAGTTCATCCCCCCACTTTGAAAAAGCCATCCACCGCCCCCGTTCTGTGTACAGGATTTTAAATGGCCAAGCTAACCGAAACGGCTAAAATATGAAGTAACAAAAGACATGTAGAATAATTTTTGATGGAGATTCCGGACATGACAATGATTTTTCTTAGAAATCATCAATAATTCTGGAATCTAGCCTTAAAAATGACGGCTCAGAACGCTCAGAAAAAAGCTCAGTTTCGGAGCTGTACTGTGCAACTGTTTATAACGTCACTGCAATAGTCTCTCCGGTGAAAAGGAGGGTGACTTAGATATTAAAGGTCTTCAAAAAGGCAAACTATGATATTAATTGGGAAAAACAAGACATTTATCCGAAAAATTATATGCACTTTATAATCCCAGTACGTTTCATTTATGGATTACAATGAGATTGTAAGATCTTTAGTTGCGGGACCACTCGGATATGCCCGCAATAACGTCAAATGCGTCATCAAGACCACGTGACCGTATTACCTTTTTCGAAGGGCGTAGCCCAGCAAGCGTGAGAACTGTGAAAAATGGATGGTTATTATCATATTTTTGTCAATACAGAAATTTTCTGAAAGATATATAAAATGGAAACACTGGTAAACATTTTTTATCTCAGGGGTGGTTGAGCATCTTCATCCTTTTATCAATCACAAGTGCCACAATGCTGTAACAAAATGTTCGGATCCAATTGACAAATGCAAGGATTTCAGTATCATATACTATTATCAGATATTCTGTTTTGTCACTGGTAATACTTTTGATGGAACAGGGACCCAATTCAAATCATTTTATTTACAAAGTGAAACGGTGCCTATCGATTGTCATATTCTTTTCTTCTTGCTTGCCATTCTGTTGCACTGTATGCCTGCATAATATGTCGTGTTCATACTGAATGTGAGTTATATTTGAAACTGTACATGCATATCACTGCCAAATGCGCAGTCATTTGAATTTGAACGCTATGCGACTCGGCGCCATCTTGACTCGTCTGAGGCTCAAATTAGCAGTAGATATTGATGAATTAATTTTCTTCCGACAAAGTTTTCACTATCGAAGGGTTTTCTACATTGTCAACGTTCTTTTGGAATTCAATACAATTATTACGAAGGTAAGAATAGCAGATGAGGCCTAGATTGGGCGAGATTGTATTGTGTATCGCTTTGATAGAGTATGACAAATGCGGGATTTTAAACACGAAAGTGGGATAAAAATGTAAAATAGAAAAAAACGAATGTATGTGGGTAGACTATGTAGTTTGGAAGTGTATTTTTCCAAGTTTGTGTGAAAACGTGTTAGAGGCAAACAGATTGACAAAAGTAGGTAATATTAGTTTATGGTGTGGATCAAACGGAATGAAGCAGTATATTTTAGTTCTATTTTGTCTATATAATCTGAGGCTTTAAAGCTAAGTTTGTAGCAGATTCCCTGTTCTCTCCTCCCTTTGCTTGATATCTATCTTTGCTTCTCTCTCTCTCTCTCCCTTTCGTGTGTATACATGTATTTCTGATCATCTCGATGTCAATGGTTTTACGTATTAATGAGCCTTGTTCTTCAAGATTGTTTGCTTTCCCTTGTAAGGTGGTGCCAAAGTAGAATTCCCAATAAGGCTGTACCCTGAATTCGATGCTTCCTTGTTATATCTGTATGGTTAAGACTACCATTTGAATTCTTTGACAACATTCTGAAAGCCTTGTAAACTAGTAGCGCTAGCAGCATAGATTGACTAAGTAGGGCTATCATAACGTGCAGGGGGTGATGCATGGTTGACCGATTCTATTTTCCACAGTCCATTTTGGGAACACAAATTCGGTCCCTCCGACCCCGGAGTGGGAGGGAGGGGGGGGGGGGCTTTTTTCTTTATCTTTTCTCTTCTATTTTCCTTTCTCTTCTTTTTTTCCTTTTTCTTCTCCATTTTTCTCTTCTCCTTCTTTCTTCCTCTTCTCCTTTCTTTGTTTCTCTTCTTTTCTTTCTCTTTTTTTTCTTCCTTTTTTTTGCGCCGCCAATAGGGGGGGGGGGGGGCCGCGGCCGTTTCGGCCCCCTGGATCCGCCACTGCTGTGGAAATCTACAAAATATGATCAGATTAATTTTGCTCCTTGAATTTGAGGATCTGTTACTTGTAAAGTCGAATTACTGTAAAATACCACTCAACATATATTTCATCACCTCTTTCTATGTTTTTTTTAGTGTTTCCTTCCTTTTTCTTATCACATTTCCTGCTATATGTTTCCTTTCTACAGTTCGACTTAGCCAACTTTATGTTATGCTTTTATAGCTGGAGTGAATGAATTACATGCCATATCTCACAATATTTGTTTGGGTGTTTGTTTGTTTTAATTTGAGATTATCTGCAAGTTTAACATGAGTGAGGCTATCCATGAGCACTAAGTATAAAGACAGGGATGTAAAAAGTGGATTGGATACATGCATTTCTCTTGTGTACGAGAGCAGGCACGTAGCCAGAGTTTGATATTTGGGGGGGGGGGGCACATACATGTAATCGATCGAGGTCAAAAAAGGGGTCTACAAAATTTCAACCGATCCTGGAAATAATAGGGGGCACGCGCCCCCTCGTGCCCCCCTGGCTACGCGCCTGTACGAGAGCATTTGTCAATTAATCTATGGGTCATAATAAGTTCGATGTTCCCTGTATGAACCTTTTTTTTTGGACTACATACCATGTCAGTATTTTGTGTTTTTGCTTCATTACAAGAGACAAACTGACAGTCTGGGAGAAGTTCACATTCAGATTTTCTTTCTAGTTAAGTATACGAAATCCGTCCCATTTTTAAACGGTTAGGCCTCCGTCATAGATCCCGCCGTATTTTTCTTTTGAGGGGGGGGGGGGAGGTGTATAGGCACGTCAAGCCCTTTAAAATACATGTTTAAAGAAAATGTCGGGAGGCTATTGGGAAAGGTTAATTACAAAGTATTTGTTAATTGATGTATACGCTGAGGTTATAAAATCATCAAAATAATGGAAAAAGAGATTCGATTTTAGTCACGTTCAGTGCTCACATAAATGGGGATATAGGACATATACATGTGCCTGCAAGTTTGGTTCAATATTTCAGCTATTTCTCGTAATATTTTAGATCTAAAGGCATTTGCAGAGCAACTCATATCAGACGAGAAAATTTGAAAATTGCGCAGACAGTTTTTTCAAGGTCATATTAGAAGCACTATACCGGTACAATTTTTGACATTTTCATCGGGGGGGGGGGGGGGGGGGGCTATAGCCTCTAGGCCTTTTTTTTACCTTTTCTCTTCTATTTCTTTTCTCTTCTTTTTTCCTTTCTCTTCTCCTTTTTTCTCTTCTCCTTCTTTCTCCCTCTTCTCCTTTCTTTTTTCTCTTCTTTTCTTTCTCTTTTTTTCTTCTTTTTTTTGCGCCGCCAATAGGGGGGGGGGGGGGCCGCGGCCGTTTCGGCCCTCCTGGATCCGCTACTGCTGTGGAAATCTACAAAATATTATCAGATTAATTTTGCTCCTTGAATTTGAGGATCTGTTACTTGAAAAGTCGAATTACTGTAAAATACCACTCAACATATATTTCATCACCTCTTTCTATGTTTTTTTTAGTGTTTCCTTCCTTTTTCTTATCACATTTTCTGCTACATGTTTCCTTTCTACAGTTCGACTGAGCCACTAAGCGGACACTTTTTTTTTTTTTTTTTTGGAGGTAAAAAAAAATCGCAACGACTCAGCCAGCCGAAAAGTCGCTCAGTGGGGGGGGGGGGGGGGGGGGGGGGGGGGGGGGGGGGGGGGGGGGGGGGGATGGGGGTAAGCGGACACATTTTTTTTTTTTTTTGGTCTCGAAATTTCTTAATTTGACATTTTTTGTCGTTGGGGGGGGGGGGGGGGGGTAAGGTCACCTTATTTAGGTTAGCCGTGGGTATAATTTATTTTTTTATTTTTTTTTTTTTTAAATAATAAAAAAACCAATAATAAAAAAAAAAAACCAAAGGGTATCTCTCAATACGCTCAACCAGGGGCGTACGCAGGGGGGGGGGGGGGTTTAGGTTTTTTTAGGGGGGGTTTACGTACATAAAAATATCAAAGGGGGGGTTTGAACCCCCAAACCCCCCCCCCCCCCTGCGTACGCCCCTGGTTGAGCGTATTGAGAGATACGCTTAGTCCTCAATCTGTTCAGCTCACAAATTCCAACCTGGCCTGTCATTGAGAAAAGAAACGGCAAACACAACAAAGGACTAACTATTCCATTAGTAATATTGATTTTTTTTAAAAGTAATTTTGATTTGTGTACAGCGTTTTGAAACTTTTATGTCACAAGCGCTATTTAAATTTTTCGTATTATTATTATTATTATTAAATGTATTTCTGATCAATCAAGAAATTCAACATAAAAATAGTTTTTAATAGAGGGAAGATGGCGTACTTCTTTATTTAAAGCATGTAACTTTTATGTATGGGTTTGATACGCCCTACATCAATACAATATAAACATATAAGACGAAACAGAAGAATAGAAGAAGAAGAAAGGAAAAGAATATGAAGGGAAAAGGAATAAGATCTAGTAAAGTTATGGCTAGCCAGGCGCGTACGCAAGATTTTTTCAAGGGGGGGGGGGGTGGGGGTTTGGGGGGTGCATATGGAAACGTTTGCTTGTATTTGTCTCATAAAAGAAGTTGAACACAAACTGACTCCCACACGGTGTTGAGTGCTCAGGGGTCACAGACCACTGGCATCATCGGGCAGGTAGTTCCATTATGTGAATGGGTAAATTAACTATTACAAAATGAGGGGACACATTACATTGTACAATAGGGACACACATTGTTTTTATTGTGCAGAACATACTCTTAATATTGACTTACTTATTGCATGAAACTATAAAACCAAAATGCATTTTGTATTCTAACAATTGGAGTACAAAGAATGATAGCAGGTGAATGAAATGCATAAACACCACAAACTCCTGGGGAGGAAGCATTCATAAATTTGAATACATATAGTTGATAAACGACTCCGATGAAACTATAAAACCAAAATGAATTTTGCGTTCTGGCAATTGGACTACACAGAATGATAGCATGTAAATGAAATGCTTCAACAGCAACACAAACACCTAGGAAGCTAGGAAGCATCCATAAATTTGAATAATTTAGTTGATAAACGAATCCGCATGTGGACGTTTGTTGGAGCAGAAAGCAGTGGATTCTTAACAACACGAACCCATTTAACAGAATGTCGGAACGTAAATTAAATTTTGGGGCGGTTGGAAAATGCATCTTAATTCTACCCTGCGACTTTAATGGTACGATCCAGTAAATTAAAACAGTAAAATTACTCATTAAATAAAACCCAAAACTTCAGTGATATCAGAAAAAATATCTTATATCTTACTAATAAATCTAAAAGATATATAAACATTGTGAAAGTGTCGCATTTCACGATAAAATACACCGATTTAGCGAACATGACGTCATTAGTGCGCTTGCATCCCTTGGAATTCAAGGTCAAAAGGTCAATTCAGACGCTGATAAGTGATTGGTCGAGCCTTTTTGTTACCTTTATTCCGACAAAATTATACAATCAATCAAAACAAGTTTAATACCAAAAGAAAGCTAACGATTAGCATTTTCATTAACCGCTTGCCCCAAAGTCGCTTGACCACAGTGAAACGAGTGAGAGCTTGCGAGAGCGGCCAAAGTGTGATTGAAACTCGCTATTTGCTCTTCTCCAACGCAAAAAGAGACGACATTGTGCTGGATAAATGTATTTTTTCCGACAAAAGTACAAAAATTTGCATATGGCCTTTTATATTATACTTTATGAAATGTTACCCGAGTGATTTGCGGGCGCCCCAATGCTGGAAAGAAACGCATATTTTAGAAAACTTCACTTTTTCATGGAAAAATGCTTATTTGTTCTATACACGCAAGTCAGATTGAGCGGATGATACAACGTTTCCATTTGGTCTCGAAATTTGAACATTTGACATTTTGCTCCGTTGGGGGGGGGGGGGGGTAAGGTATCCTTTTTTAGGTCAGCCATGGGAATATTTTTTAATTTTTTTTTAAAAATAATTAAAAAAAAAAAAAAAAAAAAAATCCAAAGGGGGGGGGGGGTATGGGCGTTATGGGGGGGGGGGGGGGTTTACACACATAAAAATACCAAAGGGAGGGGTTTAACCCCCCAACCCCCCCCCCCCCCCCCCCCCCCCCCCTGTTTACGTGCCTGAGGCTAGCGTATAAGTATTCCCATGATATTACTGGAAATATAATCAACTAGCAAAAGTATCAAAGAGCACAAGGCTAAGTCCCAGTCAGCGGTCAAACGATAACAGTGTGTTGATCGGGGTGGTTGATTGTATTGGTATGACTAACCTTTTTTTCGGGGGGGGGGTTGTTGTAATGTGTTACGGCACCCTTAAGCTTTCTCCTTCTCAGTATGAGTCTGCGGACATTGAGGGATTTGCTATTACATTGCTAGGAGCTTAAAGGTTTAGGTCCTAAATTCCTTGTGAAGAGGTGGTACCAAACAAATTAAACCCTTTTTTCTGGGGGGGGGGGTGGGAGGGGGCTAACGTACTATAAATACACTTATTGTACGCCAGATAGAACATACATGATTTAGTGGCTCTTGGGTGAAAATTAGAGTCGTTAATTTGGAATAGTTTCTCACTCTTCTTCTTTGACTCTCCAGTAATCAACATGAAGCTTCTGCTTGCATCAATGGTCCTTCTAGCCGTGGCATTTCGCGGCTTAGATGCCAATGTGTATCTTCCATGCCCTCAGTTCTGGCTTCCATTTAACGGGAACTGCTACCGTTACTTCGGGGAGCGGGTCCCTTGGGCAGAGGCTCGGGATCGCTGCAGGGATCACTACTCCTTCAACGGACGGGCTGACTTAGTATCCATCCACACGGAACAGGAGAACGCCTTCGCTTACGAACTTTTCCGCTCTTCTGCAGACTTTACAAGGGATCATGTAAATATGGATGACCTACTTTAGCTTAGACTGTTAATTAAAAGGAAATCTAACCTTGGTAGCAAACTGCTCTACAAGAAATCACGATAATCAGAGAAGCACACTGGTGGAAGTTTGAAAGAAATCGGGCAAAATTGAGACAGTTATGAATTTAAAAATTTACAATCACTATCGATATGGGTTATACAAATTGGCTGAATCGGTATTTAGTGTCTATGTGATGTAGTAGCGGAAAACTTTCCCTCTTGTGCCAAAACACAAAATGACTGAAATTTCAATTTTTGAAAAATGTATGACTTGGGATGATCTTTTCTTTTTAGAGGACCTTTAAATAATGTACTCTCCATAATACATTTTGACTAGTGCCCAAAGGGTGAAGGCACATGGGTGAAAAACAGAAATTAGCGATACGTTTGTACACAACAAATGAAAGACTTATCCGTCACTACCGTGTTAGTCAAACAAAGTTTAAGCCTACACCTATGAAATTGCTAATTTTTTAAAAATCATCTATGAACAGTAAACTATTATTCACCTTATGAAAGAGTGTTTTTTATCCCGAATCATTTTGGTATCATTTTTGTGTGGTATGTGTTCACGCTTGTATGAACAGGAGACATTGTTCACGAGAGTGCGAAAATCGACTTGCGCCAAAGTTGCTCATGTGATGTTTGAATAAAAAAAAATGGGATTTGGGTATTAAATCGGTCATTGCAGATCCAAATAACATCCCAAACAAAATTAATCATGCCACACATATCAAATATCGAATATCACATATCAACGAACATGTGTGCGCGCGTGGGTGCGTGTGTATGTGTGTGTGTGTGACTTTGCTTCTGCAAAAAGCATATGCAATTAATCTCATTTGATACATTAAATTCATTCTCTCACTTTAATCCCAACATATCACATACTGTAGGCATCACTTTGGCGCAAGTCGATTTTTGCACTCTCGCAAACAATGCCCATACCACACAAAAATGATGCCAAATGATTTCGGATAGAACGCTCTTTCATAACATGTATAACAATATACTGTTCATAGATGATTTTTAAAATAATAAACAATTTTCTAGATGTAAATTTGTGTATTGACTCACACGGTACATCACAATCCACTGACAAAATTGACAATTTGAGATTCGGATAGGTGTAGTGATCTCATATTTTCATATATTCATAACTTTGTTATTATTGGACCGATGTATTTCCAACTTTCGCCATTCTGCTTATCTGGCTTTTCTGCTTTCATTCAAATGAACGTATTACAATGGTTGGATTGCCTTTAACAAAAAAAGTTTCCTGGGCATGGCTTAGTTAGAAGGGTTAGTTCCGTTTAAAGATAAACTTGAGTTCTGGTTTAAAAAAATGAATTCTCACAGAATCTAACGAAACTTACACTGAATGTTCAAGATTACAAATAAATGTCAAGTGCCAAAAATTTTTGGAAGAAAATGTATACTGGCTGAGTGATGAGAAAGATAAGGAAATCAAGGTAGTACTAGCCCCGACACCATTTGTGTTTTCCCATATACATCTTTCTGTGTATAGTGATTGTTACGTTACCAAGACTGGGCCAAATTTATGATGATTTTGATGACTCCAGAACCTTGCAGTACACACCAATACTTACATGCTATATGATCAATTTTTTCTGATCCATTCCACACCTTTTCTTTCACAATGCCATCGCATTACCGGAACTCACCTTTATCTTTAAGGTGTGTCTAGCTTATGTGTAACGTATGCCTAACTTATGAAGAGGACGTCGGCATGCGCAAGTACGAATGTCCTCTGATAGTACAGCACACAAATTGGCCAACTCGGCTTCAGTTGGAGATACTCTAATGCACATTCTTTGTGTTTTCCCAACAAAACAATACAGAATCTTTGTTTACACGGCTCCGAGCAATAACTTACAAGGACGCCCTTTGATGAATGCAAAAAAAAAAAAAAAAAAAAAAACATAATCTGGGATTTCCGGCCAAATTCGCGTGTTTGTCATTCGAATTCCTTTACTTTGCATTTAAGTTAGCGCAGATCGGCTTTGCCATGCCAATTATCATTCAATTTTCCAGTTTTTGTATTTAATTTAGGATTTTGGTCGAAGGGTTTCATAGATCTGTCATTCAATTTAGAAACTGCTCAACTAGCATTCAAATTAATATTCACTTGTCGAAGCGTAAGTTTTATCATTCAAATTAACACCTGTCATTCATATTCGTAAGATTTTTATTAAAGTAAGGAATGTTAGGGGGAAGAATTGCAACAAATTGTTACAGTTTTTAAATAATACAGTTAAAATGCATGATTTACCATTGGGGTCTAAGCTGTTGTTCCATTTATATATTTTCAGGACAATGCAGATGGGTGAAGTCAGACATAAGGTAAAGAAGGGATATGGCATTTCTGCACGGACATGTTCATATACCCGGGAAAGGTGGGGGTACCCTCAATCACCTTCTTTTTTTTTTTTTTTTACTACAGACTCGGAATTTTACAAAAGTAATTCACATCGTCTCTTATACCCAGCACACCCCTCTATTTTTCTTAGAGAGTTTCATAGTTTACTTGCCCGCCAGCAGATCGATGGCTAACGACATGGCTAAATAATGAATCATGTTCAAATTGTTAACTCTAGTCCCTACCCCAGTCAAAATATTGTACCCTTCTTCCATAATGAAATTATGATGAAATTATGATAAATTTATGATAAAACATCAGTAAGACAAACAACTTCCTTACATGAACATTTACAAATATACTGAGACCATCAGGTCCGTAGATGCAAGTCATTTTTTTCTTCTTAACAATCAAACTTAAATGCTGATGGATATCAGATAAATCTAATAAATATAAGTGTATAAATGCAAGAAAATGAAATATGATAAAATACACATGAAAAAACAATCTTGAAAGAAAAAGAATGAGCTATAAAAAGTGTGTAATAAACGAGAAATGTATATTGACCATCAATTTAAGTGCACAAAGTGCTTATTTGAATGCTACAAATGAATTAGAATGCTAAAAGTACACCGTCGCGTTGTCAGAAAATCGTGTTGCGCTAAATCGAATGACCAAATAGCGAAAGAAGCACCTTGTTCATTAACTTGAATGAAACATACGTAGATTCTAACGAAAAATCCATAGATTTGAAAACTAGAAAAGGGAATATAAACCCGAGATATACCTGACTGCACTGATACCGTCGAATTTGAACGCAAGACAAATTCATTTGAATGACAAACTCGCGAATTTGACCAGGAAATCCTATAGTAGCGATGTAACATGTAAAGGGTAAAAATACATTAGGTTTATTAGCTATATAGTGATACACAGTTTAAGTAAGAGAGAGAGAGAGAGTGAGATAGAGAGGGATAGAGGGGACATGGTGTAAAGAGAGCGGTATAGAGAGATAATGAGAGAGAAAGAAAGAGAAACAAATGCAGAGAGAAAGAGGGGAGAGAGAAAAACAGATAGGGGCTGACTTAGTACATGTAGAATATTTAAGATTTTAGTACGAGGGTTCTCTGGCAATATATATACATAATTACACACACTGTATATGTGTGATTTTTTTTAATGGGATAAATAACATAAAATCACTTTAAGTAAAGGCTCTTTTATAGTGACAAAGCAGTAAACACTTTGATGTGCCTTTTAATATGATTAATTAATAATGACGGATAATTCCAGTGAAAAATAACTTGCAAGTAGTATTTGAACACATGAAACGTAAGAAGGAAAGGGGGCACATAACCCCCCCCCCCCCAATGAATTAGGGGGGAAGAAAGAAAGAGCAAATAGAGAGAGGGGGAAGGGGATAGGGGAGGGGGGAGAAAGAGAGAAAGAGGAAGAGAGAGAAAGAAAGAGGTAAAGAGAGAAACAGGTTGCAGGGAAGGGAGAGTAGATGAAAGGGTGAAATGGCGAATATAAATCGTCCTCAGAATTTATTAAAATTCGTGACACTACAACGGCATATTGTTCTATTCATTTGAACCGTCAAGAGTATTGTTTTCTTTTCCAATGTCCCACCATGCTAATGTTATAGATTACGGGGAATGGCGTTCGTTCGGAATCCAGCCCTGCACTAATGTTCTTTGGCAAGACATTAATCTATAGTTGCCAATCTTCACCCAGTAATCAATGGGTAGGAAGCCCTGGCTATAACTAGGGTAATAATGTATAAGTGCCACGAGTAACAAGGCGCCACGGATATGAGCGCTATACAGTGCGACCCAGAAAAAACGAAACCGAGAATTATCTGTTTTTTCATAACTTACTCACAATTATAATTTAAAAAATGACACATATTTATAAAGCTTAGATCCTCTTCTTTCATTTAATGCAACTCATATGATGCATATTTCACGCATGAGTGATTAAAGGCACACTGCCATACTTGTAGCTTCTTGCTCCCTCTATATAGAAAACTTCCCCAATCGGTGCCTGTTGGCCCCCCGTGATCCTCTTTTTCTTATGTTAAATGAGAGCTGAGTTAATGAGATAGCCACCTGTCACAGTGACCTCGCTGGCTCGCTGGGCGGCCTAATCTCTTCTGGCTGAAGTAGTAAAGCCTGCCTTTAAAAGCAATTTGAAGGAAGGAAACCAAACAGTCATCTAGCGGGCGGTATCTGAATTTCGAAGAAAAATTCACATTTCCAGAAAGTTCATTTTCTGCTCTTTCATATGACACCTCAATCAGGAAAAAAATAGCCAGGAATGTCAAAGTTCTGTTTGTTTAAAGTGATGCTTGCATTTCCATTATTTGATTTAACAAGTTCGTTTTCACTGGCTGCCTGCCGTAGCAACAAGGAGAATCGACAAAAGACTTAACCCTGTTTCATTGACAATCAGCCATGCATGAAGCCTTTCGTCTATGTCTCATCGACAACGAGACGGAGTTAGTAGGTATTCATTGATTTTAAAAACTAACTTTATTTTCATTATTGCCAAGTTGAAACTTTGATTCGACAAGGTTATCAAAATTCAATGCTTGGAAACATTCTGTAATTAATGATTATTATAAATTACAAAACGCTTAAATACAACCCCGGCATAGCACATGAAGAGCTCTCCGAACGCTGCTGAGATGTGTGAGATCACAGTATGGACATGATTTGCACAAGCAGACGATGTCCCATGACATCTCACACATTTTCAGTGCCTGTGTTTTCATCTTCTCTTGAGTTCTTTCTCTTACTTCACTACCGTCAGGCTAAATATATAATATATTGCCTCACTCTAAACCCCGCGCATGGTTTTATTTTGATGACAAATGCAGCTATACAAAAATAAAGGAATATATCGCTCGTAAACAAAATAACAAGCCATTGTATATTCAACTGCACACACCGCGGTATGTTCGTCAAGAGGGAACAAATGCCGTCCTTAATATCATTACGGGTTTTTTTTAAATTTGAAAGTCTGGTTTCTTCGATTGTTAATTAACCCCTATCCTGTGTATTTACAAGCAAAAGATTTTAGTTATCGGAATGGGGTCATATCCCTTTTTGAATGGTTTGACATGCCATTTCATTTATATGCACTAAACTCATCATACTTTGACAAATAATAGCTTAGCAATTATGTTCATTCTTTATGGGATGTCGTCTGCTTGGGCAGTATTGATCCATATTGTAACGTCATTAACACATCGTTATTTTTCTGGCGAATCTCTCGTATATCACAGCTGCTATGGGGGTGGTTGTATTTGTAGTTTTAAAAAACCATCCGTTATGTAGTTGACCTAAAACTTGTACGATGGCCAACTGTTAGCTTACCAGTTTCTAGTGATACATTAGTTGATATATTTGTGATTTTCTTTGAATTTCACCTTTAAGTCTTTTGTCAATTTTGTTTGTTGCTACGGCCGGCAGCCAGTGAAAACGAATTCGTTTGATCAAATTATGGAAATGCAAGCATCACTTTAAACAAACAGAACTTTGTTATTCCTGGCTTATTTTTTTCTGATTGAGGTGTCATATGACAGAGCAGAAAATGAACTTTCTAGAAATGTGAATTTTTCTTCGAAATTCAGATACAGCCCGCCAATTGATTTGTTGGTTTCCTTCCTTCAAATTGCTTTTAATCACTCATGCATGAAATATGCATCATACGAGTTGCATAAAATGAAAGAAGAGGATCTAAGCTTTAGAAATATGTGTCATTTATTAATTATAATTGTGATTAGGTTATGATAAAACATCGATAATTCTCGGTTTCGTTTTTGCTGGGTCGCACTGTATAAGAAGCCATTATTACTTGCAGTTCATAAAAAATAGTACATTCACTCTTCTTCTGATCTAAACCTTTCTTCTGATCTGATGGTAATGATTTTTTTTATTACTGATTTTGGTGTTGTTGTCCTGGACAGAGTGCTTGGATTGGTGCCTACCAGACAATACAAGACGGACCTTTCATTTGGTCTGATGGATCTGGTCTAAACTTCGAGCGGTGGTTGCCGGGTGAGCCGTCCAACGGTGGTAACATTGAGGATTGCGTCCATTTGTGGCGTAGGAACGCAGGGGATGAAATCCTCCGGCCTTGGAACGACCGTCCCTGTGAAAGGGACACGCCTTTCATTTGTAAGGTGGTGTCAAATTAGAATTCCCAGTTGGCTGTACCCTGAATTCGAAGCTTCCTTGATATATTTGTATGGTTAAGACTACAATTTGAATTCTTTGACAACATTCTGAAAACCTTGGAAACTAGTAGGGCTATCATAACGTTCAGGGGGTGATGCATGCTTGATCGATTCTATTTTCCACAGTCCATTAGTCAGTATTTTGTGTTTTTGCTTCATTACAAGAGACAAATTGACAGTCTGGGAGAACTTTACATTCAGATTTTCTTTCTAGTTTAGTATACGAAATCCGTCCCATTTTTAAACGGTTAGGCCTCCGTCATAGATCCCGCCGTATTTTAAATAGCCAACCGTTTTTTTGTTGGGGAGAAGTGTATAGGCACGTAAAGCCCTTAAAATACATGTTTAAAGAAAATGTCGGGAGGCAATTGGGATAGATTATGTACAAAGTTTTGTTAATTGCTGTATACGCTGAGGTTATAGAATCATTAACATGATGGAATAAGATATTCGATTTTAGTCACGTTAGTGCTCACATAAATGTGTGTATAGGCACTTCACGCCCTTTAAAATACATGTTTAAAGAAAATGTCGGGAGGTAATTGGAAAAGGTTACTTACAAAGTATTTGTTATACGCTGAGGTTATAGAATCATCAAAATGATGGGAAAAGAGATTCGATTTTAGTCACGTTCAGTGCTCACATAAATGGGGGTATGGGACATACACATGTGCCAGCAAGTTTGGTTCAATATTTCAGCTATTTCTTGTAATATTTCAGATTTAAAGGCATTTGCAGAGCGACTCATATCAGATGAAAATGTTGACATGATATTGTTTAAACAAAATTAACACATTAAAAAGAATGAGACAAACTCAAAAATGTCAATTAAAGATGCTAGATCCGTAATGAGTACCTTCAGTTATAATTAAGAAGGCTACTTTAAATTGGTCTTAGACTTTTATCATGGTGTTTAACTGTTGTTCTGAAATTCTAATCATTTACCTTAGCGTCTGTAGATAAGAGTGAAATTTTTTTTTAACTCGCCGTTTTTTAAATGAAATAACTTTGCTGTGGAAATCTACATAATATGATCAGATCAATTTTGCTTCTTGAATTTGAGGATCTGTTACTTGAAAAGTCGAATTACTGTAAAATACCACTCAACATATATTTCATCATCTCTTTCTATGTTTTTTTTAGTGTTTCCTTCCTTTTTCCTTATCACATTTCCTGCTACATATATCCTTTCTACAGTTCGACTGAGCCAACTTTATTTTATGCTTTTACAGCTGGAGTGAATGAATTACATGCCATATCTCACAATATTTGTTTGGGTAGTTGTGTGTTTGCTTGTTTATTTTAATTTGAGATTATGTGCAAGTTTAACATGAGTGAGGCTAGCCATGAGGACTAAGTATAAAGACAGGGATGTAAAAAGTGGATTGGATACTTGTATTTCTCTTGTGTATGAGAGCATTTGTCAATTAATCTATGGGTCATAATAAGTTCGATGTTCCCTGTATGAACCTTTTTTGGACTACATACCATGCGCATAGGACTAAATACTGCCCTTGAATATGATTTTGGCAATCTTGGAACTTCAAGCTTAATCAATTCGTGATGGAAGCAGTGACCTACAAGTTATACCTATCGTTCCTCATATGGTCTGTAGATAAGAGTGAAATTTAAACTCACAGTTTTTAAAAAATATCTTTGCCATGGAATTCAAGAAAATGTGATCGGATAGATTATGCTTCTTGACATTAAAAACATGTTTTATGAAAAAGTGAATTATTGTAACGTACCACTGAATATATGTTTAATTATCTTTTTTGTGTTTGTTAGTGTTTCCTTTCTTTTTTTCGCATTTACTGCAACATGTTTCCTTTCTACTGTTCGACTAAGCCAACTTTATTTCATGCTTTTATAGCTGGAGTAAACGAATTACAGGTCATAACTAACAACATTTCTTGTTTGTATGCTTGTTTGTTTTTATTTACGATTGCGTTCAAGGTTAGTTATGAGTGAGGTGAGTAATGAGGACTGAGTAAAAAGAGAGGGATGTATAAAGTGGATCGGATACATTTATTTCGTCTATGTATGAGAGCATTTGTCCAGTAATCTATGGGTCGATGTTCCCTGCATGATTCACTTATTTCGGACTTGATTTCATGCGTTTAGGACTAAAGACTTACTTTAAACTAGATCTTCACTATCATAAAAACTTCAAGCGAACTTTTTTTTTTATGGGAGCCATGACCTGCATATTATACCCATCGTTCCCTAGTACCCCCCGGCAGGGCTCTGCCCCTGGACCCCATCCGTAAAAACAGAAGTAGATCACAAGATAAACAAATGATGTATAAAGTTATCTTTAGGAGAGAGAGAGAGAGAGAGAGAGAGAGAGAGTGCGTGTTCGTGTTTTATTAATCAAGACGGCTTCTTGAAGGTTCTGATAATGCCGAAGTGCTACAACTCGAGAGCTTTCAGAGACTAACCACCCCTCCTCCTACCAGGTCCACGTGGGGACTCTGTCACTGCACAATGGGAAGGGCTCACTCTACGCCTGCAATGCGCTTTGCGTTAAATTTTGCTTCGTCACCCCCTTGAAAATCCTGGATCCGGCACTGCAGAGATGAATGGCCATAAACTTGTGCCATGGCATTAGTAAGTAGGACAGGAACTTGTAACATACGAAAGAAAAAAAGCAAGGAAAAGTCCTCCTTTTAAAAAATGAGCGTTTATCAATCTGGCAAGCGTTTGTGAACAATAATGAAAATATCCCTTTTGAATAAAAAGCTATTCCTAGTCTGGTTTGAGCAACTGTTAGCAAGAAAACAAGTTGTTGCTTCTTTCTGCTAGTAATTACCTGGTTTAGCGATAGTTCCAGATTATGGGTTTATATGGCATTAGTCCAGAAACTAGCCGGTTCTTATATTTGATATCTGCGATATTTCCTACACTTCCTTCAAGCCGCCGCAGATGGCACTATCAACGACCTTAGTCCTTTACGCCGGGCGTAGAAATTCGGAGATCACGTCATGTTCTGCCTGCAGTAAGTACGGTGAGATCGGGGTTGGGTTGGTGGAGATTATTTAATATCGAATCGGCCAGATTCTTTACTAATATTGCAACAGTGACGGTTTTTCTTTCGGTAGGCATCACTTTATCAGTAGTGGAGGCATATTTCTAAAAATAGCCACAACCCTAATGCTAACCCTACTTGTTGCACGTGGTAGTGAATGCAAAGCATTTGATGTAAAATTGCTACCCTAACTACATTACGCTAGACAGTGGATATCTTTTTAAAAGTAGAAACATGCAGCTAATACTGACTGAATAATCTATCTATCCAGCAGTCTCTATCTTCCATTCATAAGTCAAGCATTGAATTTACAATAGGAAGGCGCTATCCAATTTAGGGAGCTTCAATGTTGCAGTTGTAAAACCTCCCGTGAAACAGTCTTTTCTTGGACTTTGAAGGGCAAATAAATCTTGTCTTTTTTTTTTACCTAATGGGCATTTCACGACTTGGGCGACCAGACTAACTATTATCAATCAACTTTCACTACAACTAAGGTATAATAACATCAATAAAAAAAACTTAATTCTAAATTATATTGCCTAAAATACACTGCTATAACTAAACTAGTCCAGAACCTGGCATATTTAATTTTGATCTCCACCACACCAACGCATTATGCGACATCCGCCTACATACTTCCCAATAAGCAAAACACTAAAAAGTAACCTCTTTTGGATGTGTATTTTAAGTGATTTTAAAGTATGGTGCCTTTTGAACTAGATTTAAACGTTATCGACACGTGCCTTCATTTAAACAAAAAAGGTACTCCTGTTCACGTTTTCATCTAACCTAAAAACCACCAATTTATCACGCGACTGGAGTAACGTGATTCCACTTACCTCTGTAAATCAAGTGTTTATGACCAAATAACCACTTGACCAAGCAACGAGTTTTTTGTCCGTTAACCGATGGTGGTGATAAATAAGTAATTATTTGGTCTTGTAAGCACCTTTATCGATGGTTTCACAGGTTATCCAAGGTTGATGGTAATAATCACGTTACTTACACCGGCTAATCGTCTTATTGTTCTGTCCGTGATCCTCTGGTTATATTAAATTAGTAATTCTGAGGTGTCTTACACACCTCTTTAAATGGTTTCAAAGTTACTATAACTTTCTTGGTTATGATCACGTAGCTAAAACTGATTACTAATCTAAGCTGTGAATCCGTGATATTTAGGTGTGAAAAATTAGTAATTATTAGGTGTCTTAAAATACCTATTTAAATGGTAGTCAAAGTTGCCAGCAGTTCCGCGGTGATGATCTCGTGACTCAAACGGATTATTAATCTAAGCTGGGCATACGTGACTTTTAGGTGTGAAAAATTAGTAATTATTAGGTGTCTTAAAACACCTTTTTAAATGGTTTCAAAGTTACCATAACTTTCTTGGTGATGATCACGTAGCTAAAACTGATTACTAATCTAAGCTGTGAACCGTGATATTAAGGTGTGAAAAATAAGTAATTATTAGGTGTCTTAAAACACCTATTTAAATGGTTTCAAAGTTACCATAACTTTCTTGGTGATAATCACGTAGCTAAATCTGATTACTAATCTAAGCTTTGAATCCGTGATATTTAGGTGTGAAAAATAAGTAATTATTAGGTGTCTTAAAACACCTATTTGAATGGTATTCAAAGTTGCCAGCAGTTCCGCGGTGATGATCTCGTGACTCAAACGGATTATTAATCTAAGCTGGGCATCGGTGATTTTTAGGTGTGAAAAATTAGTCATTATTAGGTGTCTTAAAACACCTATTTAAATGGTAGTCAAAGTTGCCAGCAGTTCCGCGGTGATGTTCTCGTGACTCAAACGGATTATTAATATAAGCTGGGTATTCCGTGATTTCTAGGTGTGAAAATGAGTTATATTTGGGTGTCTTGATGGTTTCACAGTTACCATTTAAGTTCCGTGGTGATAATCCCGTGACTGTTGGCATATTTCTATTTTCACCAGTTGATAACTGACTGTCAGCACATTTTCATTGCGCCAGTTGATAACTGGTTTGTGTGCATATTTCCGGTTGCACCCGTTGATGACTGACTGTTGGCATATTTCCAGTTGACACCAATTAATTTGCATATTGAATATGGGGTGCGTGCAGATCTATGTTTTTTAAACAATTTATCTGAATTTACAGCATATTTCTTAATTACTGATGATTTAGTTTTATGCAATTCATTTCGAAAATACTACAAATATAAATTACCAGTTATTAGGACATTTGGCTACTTCGTATAAATTACATTTAATTAAACGTGAATAAGGCAAACATTAACTGTGAACTAAAATAATTTCAATAAAATACAAGTATATGAACAAAATTAGATTAATTAAATTATGTAAGTCTACTTATTACCAATGCCTTTACATTGGAAATACAGACGTAGGCCTACCAATATTGAAGTGTTGTTGCCGTTCAACTGGTTGGAAGTTTTACCATATGGTTCTAATGGCTCAGCTAGACCAATTGAATTCTAATTGGCCTGGATCAACTGGACCATTTAGCCCATTTAAATTTCCGGTGTTACCATTTGGCATTAACTGGTTCATCAACTGGACCAGTTGCAACTAGCTTTCTCTTCTGGGATGTTTGCACCCACCCCACCCCCACCCCCTCTAATCCCAAACTGCTTCCGGCGCATGGAAGATCCAAAACACGATGTTTAGAAACGGGATGAGAAGGTCATTATTTTAGTTCATTTATTGTGTAACATTTGCGTAATTATTGGGTAGAACGCGGGTTACAGTAACATATTTCCTCTTCGACGTAAATTTCACGTGAATGAAGAACATGATTCATCTCAAGTCAGCCTCGTAATATTCACGTGAATTTCACGCAGATATTTTGACTAAAACTATCACTAACGCTTCACGTGTTTCTGTGACGCGATAATTTCGTTTATGAAAATGTAATTTCATAACCAAACAAACACGGGAGTATTAGGTTTACAAACCATGGTCTCCAAGGAAGGGATAATCACGTTATTATAATGGTGATATTGCAGTGACAATTGCGTGATTTAGTGTACGTGTGTTTTAGTGACCTAGTGCAATAAACGTATTAACACATTTACGTAAATGTCCGGTGTTTGAAGAACGTAACTCTCCTCAAGTCGATACCTTGATATTGACGTGATTTTCACGTGATTTTGTTTATTGGGTTGCTGTTAGCCGAAGGATGAGTGATCATTAAATTAGGACTCCCAGCGAAAAAAAAAATAGGGCTGGTGAGCGTTTAATAATTTCCTTTGTAGGTAGGCCTACCCCTTTTTTTTCTTCCAGAAAGTGACTCGTCTATTTTTGCTTTGAGATTTTCATTCGTAGGTAGGCCTACCCCTTTTTTTCTTCCAGAAAGTGACCTTTTAGTTCATCCCCCCACTTTGAAAAAGCCATCCACCGCCCCTGTTCTGTGTACAGGAATTTAAAGGGCCACTCTAACCGGAACGGCTAAAAAATGAAGAAAATAAAAGACATGTAGAATAATTTTTGACGGAGATTCCGGACATGACAATAATTTTTCTTAGAAATCATCAATAATTCTGGATTCTAGCCTTAAAAATGTCGGCTCAGAACGCTCAGAAAAAAAGCCCAGTTTCGGAGCTGTACTGTGCAACTGTTTATAACCTCACTGCAGTAGTCTCTCCGGTGAAAAGGAGGGCCGGTGACTTAGATATTA